CTAATTTCCTGATATCAGCCTGAAGCAATATCAAGGCCTATGATGGTGGCTACTCTCATTCTTCTTTCGATATATATTTAGGTCTGCATGTCCTTTAATTTAACGATAATTTGGTTCTTATCTTGAAATAATTTGCTTTTTATCTTGAGAGTGCTTGCTAGAAAACAAATTACACTATTCTGTTTTTACGGAAAATAATCTAACTACAAGTGAGATCATATTTAGGAAAAAAGACGACAAAGCAATAGTAAAAAGATAAGAACAAGGATAAATCTAAGTACAAATAAGACCAAATTCATTTGTTAAAATTTATGAATTTGACTTTGACCACTTCAATTCATTTAATGTACTTTATTAAAAAATAAAATAAGATGACTAAAACATAAGAATAAATCTAATTACAAGTAAGACCAAATTCATAATTTAAATTTTATGAATTTGACTTTGACCGTTTCAATTCATTTAATTTACTTTATTCAAAAATATTTGTGCTTTTAATAGAATCGGATTCAAAACTATTGAATATATATTAAATGATCAACTTCATGCAATGGAAGAATTTGTTATTAGCAAATATATTTTAACTTATTTGATAAAAAATATATTCTTCCTTATTTAATAGATGTAAAATTTGTGAAGCTTTATTTTTTTCACAATCTTCATATTATTAAAACAAATAATAATACTACGATTAAACAACAGAGTAAATATAAAATTAATCAAAAATATTTAATTTTAATGATCGCGCGAAGTGCGGCCAAGTTCTCTAATTTAAAACAAAAAAGTAATATTTAAATGGGTCTACTATAGAATTCCTAGAAATCCAACTTGAAAAATTATGTTAAAAATGGAAAATAAAAAGTGAAATAAATTTAATTGAGGGTTATCCTTCGTCTATCCCATTTTATGTGACACTTTTTATTTCTCGAGAATCAAATAGTTTAAGTTTGACCATAAATTTGCGTATGATATCTTCAATTTTTTTAAAATGAAATTTATATATTTGTAAACTACGTAAAAATCAAAATATTATAATTCATGATAATTAATAATTCAAAATATTTTAAAGATCTATGAAAAATTTAAGATCAAAGATAAACTAAAGAGAGTAAAAGGGGAGAATGGAAAGTAGAAAAAAAGAAAAAAAAAACGAATATATAGAGAGAGAAACTGAGGAAAAAAAGTCAGAAAAGTAATTATTCATGTGAGTTATTGTATATGTAGAAAGACACGTGTACAATTAATGAGTCACAATTAATTTTATAGTACAACTTGAAATGATTTGTGTACAATTTGGTAGTGCCGTGTTCGTCCTCTAAAGTCTCACTTCTAATAAGGAGTAAAATGAAGCGGGTCCAGATATGGTACAACTTGTATGACTTTTGGAACCATTCCTTATTGCTTTTCGTACAACTCTTTAATTTAATGAAGTGAGTCCACATATGGTACAACTTGTATTAGTTTTGGAACTATTCCTTATTGCTTTTGGTACAACTCTTTTATGCTGTGTTGGTACACCCTAAGTGTCATTGGTACAACTCTTTTATGCTTATCCTATCTTTCTCACATATCTAGTATCCGATACATGTGAATACACCAGATACATGTATCTAGTGTGTATCTAATGATTCACATATATCTGGGATACATAAACAAATTTCGCTCGCTTCCTTCTTGTTCTCGCTTGCCTCTCCCTCTATTTTAGTGTATTTAGTGGCAAAAATATATGTATCTAGAAAAAGAAAAAAAAAGACTTGAAATTTGATATGAAATTATCAATTAGTGAGATACAATGTATTTATTTCAAACTATAGAAAGTATTGATGGTTCCGTCATTTGATTCTAATCTGAGCTATTAACATGCCCAGGTGTGGGTTTTCACGTAGTTTAAACACAGTAATAACTCACACGTCTTTTTTCCCTCTTCCCAGTTCCCACCGACGATTCCCAAGGAGGAAAATGGTGATTGTTCCGATTTCCCTTTTTGCTTCCTTTTTTGCTTTGCTGCTTCTTTATCATTCTTAACTCAAACTTTTCTATTTCTTTTTATACATCAAAGATGCATATACTGTCCACAAATAGTTGGTCATAAGAGTTGTTGTCAAGGTCTGGTTCTGTATAAGGTATCTGATTCATTGTCTAGCTTTGACGTTTTGACCAAATAAAAAAAAGTTATGTGAGGAAGATAATCTTGGTATAAAGTGCTAAATATGATAAACTGATATAAGTCTCTTAACTAAAATAATTTTTAAGAAGAAATTTGAGGGTGCCCTATTCTCCATCAACTTTCGAAAAGGTAACTTCTTGTTTTTCAATCATGAAAAAACACTCCCAAGTCTTCAAGAAAGCAAAATCTGAGCAAACAAATCAGTGACTTTCAGACTGAGTACATACTTAAATCTATTAACATGTAAAAAATGTTATGCAATCAACCATTTCAAATGAAAAAGAAGTGAAATATTTTTCTGCTAAAGCATCACATTAGTCATTTTTTCAAATGTACATATCATGATCTTGTTTATTCTCATAATTTTCCTTTGGTTCTGTGCAACAATATTTGAAACACCAAAGAACTGTCAAAATATCCGTGATATGTGCCTTGTAAACACCATATGCTTTTCATCAGATATTCTCTTTGCCACTTAAAACCGACAAAAAACATTAATGTTCAATTTTCTATTTCAAAGTTGCTGGTGAAACTTTAGTCAAAAGCACACTAACTTCACCAATCATTCTCAAATTTGATATTTAATCTCACTAAAAGATCTCTATAAAATCCAACAACACATAATCTAAATAATACACAATTTGGGGAAACCCAATTTAAAAGTCAAATTTTGAAACTAAAGACTTTCTTCGTCTAGATCAGACAAAAGAAGCCACATTATAAAGCTCAAATGGTCTCCAAATCATTAACAAACCATCACAATTCAGTTCAATAAAATTTTATTTTGATATATCCAAAACGCCAAACTTCAAATTCCGACATGAAGCTTCAATTTTGGGGAAAAATATTTTAAGCTCAAAAACTTATTTTTAATTGAGTTCACAAACTAAAATACAGATGTTTGAAAGTAAATAAAATTAGTGCATGTGTGAATAATCAGAGTAGGAGATTTGGAAGCCAGTCAAGCCAAAACTGAAAATTTGTTTTTTAAAAAGTAAATAGTGAGCTATCAAATTGAAATTTTTTGAGAAGAAAATCAAAATAGAGAGAGACAAAATTAATACTATTTCCTTCGTCCCATTTTATATGTCACCTTTTTAATTTGCATTTGCATTAAGAAATGAGGTAATTTTACCCTTATGCCCTTATTTAATGTTTTCTTAAAACAACTTTATAATAAATGATGAATATGTTAGATTTCAAAAATATAAATGCATTTGGATGGCTATTTAAATTTTAGAGTTTATTTTTTGAGCCAAATTTTTTCACCAATTAATCCAAAAAAATTTAAAAATCAAGTTTTTCCCACCTCAATTTTCCTATATATTTTGTGTAAAATGTTTTTTTAATATTTTTATATATAAATTCTTAAAGCAAACATGACAACATCACAAAATTCCTTTGAACTTTTTTAAATGTCATCTTCCTTGATAAAATTTGTTGAAGCTTCAACTTTCAAGATTTTTGAATTTTTTTTCATCTTTTATTTTTAATTTGTTTGTTGATATTTTTTTTAAAAATCAAATTTTATAGAATAAGTAGTGAATAAAGAAAGTAGTTAATTAATGAATGAAGTACTCTCCCAATGAAATTAACTACTTGTAGATTTCCTAGGTTAGTCAAAGTAAATACATTTTTAAGACTAATTAATTAATCTATCAAGGATATAATGGGTAAAATATAATAATTTATGCATAAATTTTATAAAATGACATATATTGTGATCCAATTATTTTTAGAAAGAATTGATATATAAAATGGGACGGAGGAAGTAACAAAGATCCATAGAATTGAGGAGAGAGACAAATAAAAACCGAAGATTGAAAAAGGAGAATTGGAAAACAGTAGTCAAAGCACAAAGAGGTAAATATGTGTCAGCCTAGAAAGGAAAACAACAAAAGCTTAATACTCCCTCCGTCCCTATTTACTTGTCCATATTTCCTTTTTTAGTTGTCCCTATTTAGTTGTCCATTTTGACAAATCAAGAAAGGACAACAATTTTTTTCCTATTATACCCTTATTTACACTTCTTGAAAATTGTAAAAGTGTATGTTGTTTCCCTCCAATTTATTTCACTTTAATTCAAATAAGTGGTTGTAATTTTGAAGTGAAAAAGTTGTCATAAGGGTAAAATTGTAACTTCATTGTGCTAATCATTGTTGCCTTAATCTGTGTGTCATTTCTAAAGTGGACAACTAAAAAGGGACGGAGGGAGTACGTATTAACATTACAGGAAAAGTGGTACTATTTACCAATAAGACAATGACTTGACATCAAATTATGATACAATAAATATTTCTTTTTGTACAAGTATTTGTTGCTATGGTCGTCCTTTAGAAGTGCCATTTCTAAATAAGAAGAAGAGTAAAATATATATATAATTATCTCGAAGTTTAATTGTATATCAATTATTCATATCACATCGGTGTACTGCATATATAGCATGGAAACAAAAAGATATTATTGAAAAGGTCACTAATTTAATTTGATTAGACATTTCTTTTGATAATTTAGCCCTAATTAATTGTTAGTAGCAAAGGCTGTGCTTAGGGCCATTATCATTTAGTACTACTCCCCCGTTTCATTTTATATGAGTTAATTTGACATGACACAGAGTTTAAGAAATAAAAAAAACTTTTAAAACTTGTGGTCTAAAATAAGTGATTGATATTTGCATGCCTTTTATTAAGAATAAAATGAACATTTTGAAGTTTAAATTATTATTTAATATAAAAACGTGTTATTCTTTTTTTATTGACTAAAAATAAAAATAAGTCATATAAACTGAAAAATAGAAGTACTAACTTATCAACGGTTTGTGAAATTTCGTACATATGAAAAATGGATTTCACACATAGTTTTTATTCAACAATTACACATCCCACAATAGGACTGTTATTTTTCATATAAACATTAGAAGGTTCAAGTCTAGTCCCCTTATTCAGGACTCACCTTCCCACAAATAAAAATATAAATAAAATTATATCCTTGATAACACTCAATGAACTAATTTTTGCCTTTAAAAGTAATTAAATAATTTATTTTATTTTAGTCGACAAATTTAATCCATTAAGCTAAATAGTGGCCATTTGTGCAAAATGTCCCTTCAGTTCATTCTTCCACAATCAAACCGAATATTTCCGTTCCTCCCTGTCTTCACACCAACTCGGCCCAGTTTTGTCATTGCAGTTGTAAAAGCATTTTGGAATGATTTTGAGTTACTGGCCCAAAGGTCCACAGTTCCCTTGGACCTTTTGTCTGTATACAGCACCTGATCTGATGTGAATAGGCCCATACCTTGTTGTAAATTTTTGTAGTAATTATTGTCAAATGTCCTTGGAGTTTTGGGATCCATGTCAATGGCTATCCTTGGGTCAACATTCCTTGGACACATCCCTTGTAATTGAGCTGCATATTGCTTGTTCAGAGTTGGGTCTATTAAATTTTGAGGGCTGAAGTTGTAGATCCGGTTGGAAAACTTGCCACAATGAGAAAATCCAACAGAATGGGCCGCTGCAAATTAATGTTACAACAAGAGATCTTAATTCCTTGAAACATTGGATGAAGTAGTTCATGCATATAAATTATTCCATTCTGGAAGATTCTCTTAATAATGTCTGAACTTTTTTTTTCCTTTTGTCTAGTGAGCTGGCTGAAGAATAATTAACCAAATAATTGAGTAATGGTTACGTCTGAATCAATAACACGTGCTAAAAAGCAAAAGGTCAAATGTAAAATGATAAAATTTTACTCCAGCAGTCCAGCTAGGTTAGAGCCTAATTATCAGGAATTTAGGACCTTGACGAGTGTTTTAATAATATTAAATATTACTCTGGAGTCAATTTGATTAACTTTCCAAACTAAATTAGATTACATTAATTTGATATTTTAAAATAAAAAAAATAGATATTTTAAAATTATATGAGAAGTATACTATAAGTTGCAATTTTTTCATATTGATATGATAAGAAAATATATCTTAAAATGTTTAGTCAAAATTCATGTCATTTGACATTCAAAAAGAAAATTATGACAACTAAAAATAAACGAGGAGAGTATATACTGATAACTATGTTGCATTTTATTTAGTGAAACAAACCTTTTTATGTACTATATTTGTGTAAAAATTTACTTGGTAACTCCTGATATTGAAAGGAGAATTTTCAAAACAGATAGCAAGATCAATTACTAAATATAACAATTAATATTTGATGTGCGCTTAATTAATAGGTATATAAAGAAATTAATTAACAGAAAAATTACCAGAAAGGGCGATCATGTCCGCCTGAGTTAGACCATGAGAGGCAAACATAGAATTGAGTTGATTGAGATTGAATGTTGGTTTTGGCAGCTTTCCTTCTACATTCGATGCTTTTGACGTGAACCCATCAAGCCGTCCTAATTCCACTGGGTACCATGGTCCCCCAGACTACACGCGAGTTACAAAATGAGTTTAATTTCTATATACAGCGATAGCGACTTTTTATCATGTCAGGTAAGAATGTAATTATTTATACGAACCAGCTGAATGACGTCTCTGGTAGCTAAAGCAAGAATGTCAGCACAAGAGACTTTATTTTTACAACGCGAATTTGAATCAACAGCGGCTTTAGCTTTAATCACAGTATCAAATCCATCTCCTGCCAATGATAGATTATCTGAATGATCCTTCTCAGCTGTGTTCCCTGGTGTTGATGATACAATCACTGAAGCATCACATCCCTAGTTCCAATTATTAGAAAAATAAACGTAAGATTTATTTCTAATTGTTGGTACAATTGGGGAAGGGACAATTATTGTACTCAAATTCACACCTATCGACTCTCAGTAGTATCACGATTAGAAATTATTGGAACAGAGTACGTACCTCAACAAAGCAATCATGGAAGAAGAGACGGAGAACAGCAGGGACAGTGACAAAAGTTTGTTTGAATTTCTGGTTAACAACATTTCTAACAATGGATTCAACATTAGGACAACTATTCGCGTAATAATTCGTCTTTAATTGTGCAGATGCCAAGTTAGGCAACAACACAATACTAACTGAAAAAATTGATAATAATACTGACATAAGAAGATTTAGACGACCCATTTAATTTCTCTGGCTACAAAATTAAGTACAATGGGTTATGCAAATGTTTAATTGAGAGCAAAGAATTATATAAGGGACATAATAATATATAGAAGGCCAGTTGGCCAAAGAATCTTTTTTACTTAACAGAAGAAGTTGAACATGAATCGAAAGCAAAACACAAGTCGTAATTTGATTTATGAAAGAGACAGGATACCGCTGACAGTACTGTCTATTGTATTGGCCGCCATGAGATATGACCAGCCCAGCCCAGCCCGTTCAATTGACCCGTCCATTTATTAGTTTAGTTCATTTTAGTTTAAGTTATTTTAATTCATCTAAAATTAGGATTTGTTTAGTCCTAAGAATACTTGAAAAGGGGTGTTTAGTCATATAGCTTGGTAATTTATTTGTCAAGTATCCCAAGTTTCAAATACTAGAAAAAACTAGTATTTGGGCCAAATTCTAATATTTGGGAATTTTAAAAAATTCGAAAATTACCTCAAACTTTTATATTTTATAGATGCCCATTATTTATTAATTCCAACTAATATTTGTTACTACCATTCTCCGAAAAAGTTTGAGTTCTAATTTGAGTGATAAAATTGAAAAGAAAGAACAATTTGTGCTTAACGGGTTATAATTATAATTGAATCAATGACAAGTTTGAGTATGCGATTAATGTATTGTCTTGCCTATATTGTTATTTTGTTATTGTTGATTGTTATCAATTATATTATAAGGTTATTTTTTAACGGAACATATTCATTATAAAATGATGATATAAATTTATGAGTATTTTTTATAATTTTTAGAACTTATGGGTATAAAAACATATATTTTTAAATAGTCAAGGCCAAACACATAGTGAAACTTCACCTAAATATGATTTGCCAAGAATATTTTAGAACTTGGGGGTAAACGCTAGCTTAGAATGAAGTATAGACCAAAATGATTCATGAAGTGATCTTGTAAACATTGAAATTTAGTAAGAAACAAAGCAGATTGAGTTATGACTTGTTTTTTAATTTATTTTAGTTCAATATACATTATATTTTTCTATATCGACATCTTATTCTCTATATATACTCATGAATATAATTGTTTTTAGCCGATCGATTAAATAGGTAATTTGCCCTTTATTAAATTCATACTCTAACTAAATAAGAGATCGATGATGAAAAAAACTGAAGGCTGCTATTACATGGAGACAGCTGGAAATTAGGACCAGCAAGTGGTATGCGCTTCCAAACAGATCTCTGTGGGCTGCTAATCTTCAAAACTAACCCTACACAAAAGAAGATTAAAAAAAAAGGAGCAATAATTAAGGGTACTATACTTTGATCACTAGAAGGAAAAGTGACAAAAAAAAAAAAACATATGTATAAACATGTTTAAGACAATACACGTGGAAGTAGTTAGAAAAAAAACATTCTAAATTTGAATGGATCTAGCTAATCCAAGTTATAATCATTATGATATAGTTAAAATTATTGATGGGAACGATGAAATATATTATCTCCTATAAGACTATAATCAATTACAATTTGAATAAAAAAAATACAAAGATCTCATATAATTTATTAATTACTACTAAATTTTTTTATTCTTTTTTATTGATATCCACTACAAAATATTCATATTACTAAATATTCGCACACATTCTATCATCTCTTCAGACTTTACTGGTCAAATCAAATTGAATATGTTATTAGTCCATAAAACCAAATATCACAAGAATCATGAAAACCTTTAGAATTTAAAATCAGTGTAAAAAAGCTACGTAATTAACATGCATAAGGTTGCCTTTTGCAATCGTCCAAAAAGAAAAAAGAAAAGTTAACCATATATAGGTGTAAAAATTACGTCCACTAGGAAAAAAGAAAAATTACTCCCTCTGTCCATAATTACTTGTCTACTTTTGAATTGACACACCTATTAAGAAATCAATAATTGACATAGTGAATTTATCATTTTACCCATATTAATTATGAAGTGAATGTATTAAAAATTTAATATTTTCAAGAAATTTTACCTTTTTCAAAGTAATTAATTGATGGTATAATAGGTCAAAAAAATTGTCCTTATTTAATTTGTCAAAATAAATAAATAATTAGGGACAACTAAAAAAAATGTAAAGAATTAATTAGGGATAGGGGGAGTAGTAAAGATAAGATTCCCACATTGATTCTTTGTCATGTGGTTTCCAAGGTTTCGCATATGGCAACCACACCAACCATAATTAAATAATACTTAAAAAATTATAATTCCGAGATTTAAGAACAACTAAGAATCAAGATTCTTACTAAGCAACTTTATTTATAAAAGAAATAAATAAACAAAGAAAAATGAAATTTAACAATTATTTTGCTCACCTAAAAAGTAATTTTAATTTTATATATACAATAACAATTTATTAACAAAAAGAGACCCTTTATAGATTAATATCAAAGTCTAAAAGAGTTAACGTATTGAACATTGGATATGGGCTTAATTAAACCAATAATAAATTGCTGGCCATGATGGCGAAATTTTAAGTCAATTACTATTACTACCCAATCCGAGATCTAAAAGCTATAATTTTTAATTTTTAATTTGCGATAGACGTATGCTGGCTTTGTTGAAGGGACAAAAATAATTAGTTCTTCAATTAGAATTATGACAGAGACAAACATGCATGATTGCAACATCATGTGGACGCCTATACGTTATCCATGGTCAAATAGTTAACTAAACAAGTATTATATCATCTTTAGATTTATTTTTATTTGATCATTATATAAAAAAATAAATTATTATTTTTTACTTATTAAGAAAAGATTAAAAAAGCATTATTTATTATAAATATTAATTACTTATTTAATTATTTTTCATGACCAAAAACAATGCATCAATATAATATAGATATTAGGGTAAAGTACTTATATTAATCATTACTTATTAAAGAACGTACAAAATTCAAAGTGGACATTTAAGTTGCTAAAGTATACTCGTAGGAATTAGTAATATTAACACCAAATGATAAGAATAACTAAATAAATGATACCTGCACGGAAGGAATAAACTTAATTAGTGTATAGTGTTGGATTTCTTTTGATAGAATTAATATTAAGTAGGTTCATTTGAAAGCTTCTTTTTAATTATTATATTTTTTGGAGAAAGGGAAGATGTTGGTGAGGGATTATAAGGTGTAGAATATAGTACTCACTAACAAGATGAAATTTCAAATAGTCAAACCAATTGAATTACTAAAATTTTTCATTTGAAAGCTATAATCTGAAGAATGAAAAATTAATATTATGTATTTGCACTAATTACCTTTTGGTTAAAGACAATATATGACATATTTTTTTGTTCTCGAGTCATATATCTTCTTAAACATAAGGTAATTAGGAAATTTTTGGCATAAGACTGCAAATGCTTCTAATTTTCCCTTCTAAGGAGCTAGGATATATGTTGCCCACCAAATATTTTGATTTTATTAAAGTAAGATATGGACAAGAATGATGAAAAAAATATAACAACTGTTTTCTGCTTTAATTTTTAAATAATATACATAGTTTGTTTGAAAGCTCTTGTCATAGGCATAATTTACTTCTACAAAAAAGAGTAATCATCATTTGGGAGAAATTATTGTCCTCTTCTAAAACGCTAAACATATCATTGTACAATGAATAAAGGTTGTAACTAAACTTCTTTTTTCTTTTTTCTTTTTTTCTGCTTTCTTTTCTATATTTTAATAATAATATTTTTTCTGTCGTATTTTTCTTTTTTGGTGAGACGTTACATTCATGGTTTTGCGAAGCTAATTCAAAACTCTTTGTAAGACGTTTGGTTCATTTTCAAAATAAGGATATGAGTTTGGGATTCCATAAAAGAAATAATATAGGATAACATATCATTTCGGGACAAGGATAAATTGTATTCATCAACAGTATGGATAACTCTATATAATTTGGATTGATAGTTTCAAAAAATAGGATATTTAAGACGACACAATTAGTCAAATTACATATATTTCAATTTATATAACTCAAATCTAATGTGAAAATGAGACGCAAATTACATGGTTGTCGCTTTTATTCAATACTAATACTAAAATAATATAATATGGATTGATAGTCGGAAGAATATGGTACATTACTAGGAAACAATATATTAGAAAGGTAAATAAGAGGAGTTTAGGGTCAGGTTTTATTATTTACCAGGAGGGGAATTTATTTTTAAAAATTACAAAATAGGGAATAGGAGAGGAGCTTAGGGTCAAGTTTTAGAATTAACAGAGAGAAATTTATTTTTTAAAATTACAAAAAAATGAAATAGAAGAGGAGCTTTGGATCAAATTTTAGAATTTACAGGGAGAGGAGCAAATTTTAAAATTACGAAAAAGGGAATTGGAGAGGAGCTTAGGATCAACTTTTAGAATTTATCGAGAGAGGAACTTATTTTTAAAATTTACAAAAAAATTGTATTATAAATGACAATAATTAACCACCTAAAATATTCTTAAAATATATTACAAATTTGGCTGACTCTAGAAATTTCACATGTGCTCACATAAATTGGGACAACGAGTAACATATATTATTTGAAATTTACATAAAAAACATTATAATAATAATAATTAATAATTCAAAATATTTAAATTGAGACAAATAAATTAGGGGAATTTTCGCATATAGCCACTCAAAAATAATTTAATTATGCTTCATAGATATAGTTTGTTAATTACGATTAGTAGCTACATGTTATAAGGAAGAAAGAGACGAGCGAGATTACAAGAGGGAGGAGAGAGGTGAGCGAGAGAGGGCAGAGAGTGGAGAGAGACAAATTGTATATATATATCTGTCAAATAATTGTATATATGTAACTGCTATACATATGTATTTGTATATCTGGCGAGCGAGCGAGAGAGGGCAGAGAGTGGAGAAAGGCGAGCGAGATTGAGAGAGGGAGGAGAGAGAGGGCAAAGAGCGGAGAGAGGCTAATTGTATTTATATATTTGTCATATAATTGTATATGTATAATTTGTATTTGTATATGTATAAAAGAGGAGAGATACGACGTAATTACAACTAAAGTTAAGT